CCCCCCCGTTTCAAAAAAAAAAAAAAGTGGGGGATAGGTGACCCCCTCCTTCATCCCCCCCCCCCCCTCCACCTCCAGGCAACCCACATCACGACCGCCCCGCCGGGGCGGTCCCCTCTAGCGCCCGCCAGGCTCCCGCTCCTGCCGGACGAATGGAAGGCCCTGTCTCTGGTCGTGTTGCTTGACGGTCTGCGCCGCCAACTATAAGGAGAGGCGGTTGGGTGCGGGGCCGCGGGTGGCGAAGCGGGCTGCCGGGCGGGGCTGGGAGCGCGGGCCGCCGGAGCCGAGCGCCGCCCTTGGCCTGCTGTGTGGCGGCGGCGGCGGCGGCCGCGCGTCTCCCACTCGGTCCGTTCCCCCGTGCCGCCGCCTGGCCTGAGCGGGCGGGCGGCCTGCCCAGCGAGGCCGTTCAGCCACGTCTTCCTTGGCTGGCCAGGGGACGGCTTGGGCTTTTCCCTGCCCCTTCGGACCCCCCGCGCCCTCTCGGGTCGAGGGCGGCGGGCCCTGGCCTGGCCTGGCCTGCCTGCCTCGTCTTCCTTAGAACAGGGGTTGGCTCGGGCTTCCCCCCATCGGCCCCTGGCGCCCTCTCGGGCCGAGGGCGGCGGCGTGGGATTCGGGCGTGGCCCTGCCGCACCCCCGACGGGGCGTTGCCCCGGCCGGACGGGCAAGGGCGGGCCCTGGGCGCGGTCGTGTGTGGCTGAGGGCCTGCGCCGACAACGACAGGGGGACTGCCTCGGCTGCGGGCGGCATGGGGCGACTCCCACCTCGAGCCCGCTGCTGCTGCTGCGGCCGCCGTCGGGGCCCGTACCGGCGGTGCAGGGCCCGCCCATTCCCCGGTTTGGCGGCTTGGGCTTCCTTTCCCCTTTCCCCTTCGTCCCCCGCGCCCTCTCGGGCCGAGGGCGGCAGGCCGGTGGCTGGACCTGCCTGTCAGTCTGCCCCGTCTGCCTCGTCTTCCTCGGGCAGGGGCTGGCTCGGGCTTTCCCCCTTCGGCCCCCTGCGCCCTCGTGGGGGGCGGCGTAGGGGACGGGCGCGGCTATGCCGGGATCGCCTACCCGAAGGGGCCGTTCTTCCCTGGCGGCCGAGGGCGGGCCCTGGGCGCGGTCGTGGTGGCTGAGGGCCTGCGCCGACAACTATAGGGGGGCCACCTTCGGCTGCGGGCGGGCGGGCGGCGAGCCCGCGTCGAGCTCGCCGGTCGGGGGCCGGCCGGGGCCCCCTGCTGGTTGGGCCTCGCCCCCCGGGCGGGCGGCTTGGGCTCTCCTGCCCCCTGCGCCCTCTCGGGCCGGGGGCGGAGGCGGCGGGCGGGCGTGCCCCCCGCCGTGATGAAGCCCCTGCCTCTCCGGCTCCCGTCCCGAAAGCGGGGCAGGCTTTGGGGGGTCCTGGCTGCCGGGGCCGTCGGAGGGGCTGCCTTCCGTGGCCCCCGGGGCCGAGCCCTGCCCGCGGTCGTGTGGGCTGAGGGCCCGCGCCGACAACTATAGGGGGGAACCACCTTCGGCGGCTGCGGGCTGGCGGGCGGGCGGGCAAGCTCGCCGTCGGGGCCGGTCGGGGCCTTGCGCGGCGGTGCGGGGCATCCTGCTGGTTGGGCCTCGCCCCCCGGGCGGGCGGCTTGGGCTCTCCTGCCCCCTGCGCCCTCTCGGGCCGGGGGCGGAGGCGGCGGCGGCGGGCGCGGGCGTGCCCCCCGCCGCCGAGGAAGCCCCTGCCTCTCCGGCTCCCGTCCCCGAAAGCGGGGCAGGCTTTGGGGGGTCCTGGCTGCCGGGGCCGTCGGAGGGGCTGCCTTCCGTGGCCCCCGGGGCGAGCCCTGCCCGCGGTCGTGTGGGCTGAGGGCCCGCGCCGACAACTATAGGGGGAACCACCTTCGGCGGCTGCGGGCTGGCGGGCGGGCGGGCAAGCTCGCCGTCGGGGCCGGTCGGGGGCCTTGCGCGGGCGGTGCGGGGGCATCCTGCTGGTTGGGCCTCGCCCCCCGGGCGGGCGGCTTGGGCTCTCCTGCCCCCTGCGCCCTCTCGGGCCGGGGGCGGAGGCGGCGGGGGCGGGCGTCCCCCCGCCGCCGCGAGGAAGCCCCTGCCTCTCCGGCTCCCGTCCCGAAAGCGGGGCAGGCTTTGGGGGGTCCTGGCTGCCGGGGCCGTCGGAGGGGCTGCCTTCCGTGGCCCCCGGGGCCGAGCCCTGCCCGCGGTCGTGTGGGCTGAGGGCCCGCGCCGACAACTATAGGGGGGAACCACCTTCGGCGGCTGCGGGCTGGCGGGCGGGCGGGCAAGCTCGCCGTCGGGCCGGTCGGGGCCTTGCGCGGGCGGTGCGGGGCATCCTGCTGGTTGGGCCTCGCCCCCCGGGCGGGCGGCTTGGGCTCTCCTGCCCCCTGCGCCCTCTCGGGCCGGGGCGGAGGCGGCGGGCGCGGGCGTGGCCCCCGCCGCCGCGAGGAAGCCCCTGCCTCTCCGGCTCCCGTCCCCGAAAGCGGGGCAGGCTTTGGGGGGTCCTGGCTGCCGGGGCCGTCGGAGGGGCTGTCCTTTCCGTTGGCCCCGGGACCGAGCCTTGCCGCGGT